CGGCGGCGGCGGCGGCGGCAGCGCCGAGCAGCGCGCTTGGCGCATACCTCCGGTCGGCGGCGGCGGCGTCGGACGGGAAGGCGACGCTGTCCTCGGCCTCGTCCTCCAGCCCCCAGTCGAAGGGCTGCGGCGTGCGCACCACGGCCGCCACGCACGCGCCCTTGTTGTCGGTGATGGGGCACGAGTCGCGCGTGGGGCGCGAGTTGACGCGGATGATGTGGCGCTTGGCGTCGGCGCACAGCGGCACGTGCACGCCACCGTCGGCCGCCAGCAGCGGCAGGCTGGCCAGCGAGCAGTCGAGGTCGTCCATGGGCACGCACGCGCTCAGCCGCCCGTCCGCGCCCTGCACGCGCACCGCGCCCTCCGCGCACGGGTTGCGCACGCACGCGCCGCGCAGCGACTCCAGCGACGCGTCGTACACCGGCGCCAGCATCTGCGAAGGGCAAAGGGCACGACGCTCACAGGATTGTTTTAGAATCTGTGCACACGAGCGGTGCGTTGCCGCGCGGAAAGTCACGCGCGTCGTAGAATAACAGTACATCTTATGCGAAGCGGCACACAAGCGCTACCGCATAAGATAGTGTTAATTTTCGACGCGCGTCAACGTGACGCTCGTGTGGCTCAGGCTTCAAACGATCTTACCATTACTTACGCAACGTACAACTGTAGTAACATATTATGGGAATAGTTCATGGATGTTGGTCACTTAATCAAAATCCTAGTGTGTCAATGTTTCGGAATTTTATTTTTCCCTCCCCACGCTTTACTACGGTTGAATGTTGAACGTTATAAACAACTGAATCACCATATGGACACAAACACTCACAACCATACCACTCTACGGCTCCATGTCCCGTGAACTCTTTCCATAATTAATAGTGTGGTCTTGAGTTCAAGAAGTAGAGAGATACCCTACATTAAAAGCTATGCTTTACTTTTTCGTATATGTAGTATTTTTTGTTAACAAAAATGTGTGTCTTTCAAAAGGTCACAAGTTCTTGTGACAAAAGTTTTGTTGCTGCGGCCTCGCAGGAAAGGTTTTTTGCTTCCTGTATTTACTTTGTATACGGATGATCCCTTCTTCCGAAATGTTGAGGGTTTATTGCTCTAATGTCGTTTAACGCTTTACATCCAGTGTATGCTTTGAAAACATTTACTAGCACAGCAATCTTTCGTCGTTTGTCTAGAAGTTACCACATCTGTGAGTAATCACCGTTTGTTTCTACAAGTTTTAACTGTTGTTTTGGATACAATCCTATAAACTTATCTATCCAACCATATATGGGTCACACCACGCGGAGCTGTATTCTATTACTGGACTAAAAGGGAAGTGTACGTTAAGAACTTTGTGTTCGCGTTTCCTTTCTGCAATTCACGCATTACGAAATGGAACGATTTCGAAGCTTTTCGCGCAACGTGATTGATGGGGTCGGACCTGTTCAGATCGCTTCGAATAGAAACCTCCAAATACTTGACACTACTGGCCTCAGGCACCGGTTGATCTGAAAGGGTATATTTTAGTGGCATTTGTTTACGTCTCCTACTGAACTTTGCAATTCTTAGGATTAATTTTCGTTTCATTTTCTTCTGCCCATTTCATAATTTTATCGAGATCCTTTTTCAAGCTTGCTGATCTCGAGCTTCTTGTATTCGTCGTTGCAGACATCGGCGAAGAGCACGACCGGTGAATTAATAGTATCTGGAATATCATTAACGTATGCTAGAAATAGGAGAGGGCCTAGAACGCTTCTTTGCGCAACACCTGACATCATAGAAAGATAAGCATCTATCGTAATTCTTTGAGAGGGACCGCGAAGGAAAGATCCGATCATTGTGTTTAATCTTGTGTCAATTTCTTTATTTCGAAGTTTATTACGTAATTACTCGCAAGGCACTAAGTCGAATGCTTTTGTGAAATCTATGACTTCCACATCCGTTGTTTCTCCTGCGTCTAAAGGACTGGATCTTTACACGTAAGCTTCCGCGGCTCGAGTTCATGACATCATGACTTTTTCAGGGTAGTCACTACCCTGAGGAAGCCTGCGACATGTCAGGCGAAACGTCGGCCTCTCAGCCAACGACGCGGCGTCATCTGGACTGCTAAGAAGTCACGGATCGGCAAACTTTCTTGGCAAACTGTTAGAAGTTGACTTTCGCATGGGCAACCTGTTCTGCCCCATGTTGCCCTGCGTACAGCAATTCGTTGTTTTCCCAAACCGCACTCATGTATTCTGCAGTGATTTTTTCTATTTGTTTACCTACTCCCGCTGTTAGCTAATCTTACGATAGTTTTCGACGTCAGAGTAGTTTCTAACTTTGAGGATTGGAACACCTACTGTGTATTTCCAGTCATCAAGAATAATGCATTTGCCAAAGGATATTTCAAAAAGTCTCGTCCTATTACGTCCAATTAATTCTCACCCAAGCTTCATTATCTCCCCTGGTAAACCGTCGGGTCCTTTCGATTTATTGCGTCCTATTGTTATGTTTTTTTCTAAAAGTTTTTACATTAATTCTAAATGACGATTTGCCAAGAGAATTTTCTGTTGGAATGCATTGTCAGGCGTTTGTAAACACAACTGCGTAGTAAAGATTGAAAGCATTTGCTTTTTCCGTTGGATTTGTGATTAGCTGGTTACCACAGCCTTCGATTGCTGGTATCCTCGTACTTGTTTCTTTCCGCATTGTAACACATTTGTAAAATTGCACCTAGTTATTCTTGGCTCACAGCACGTTTGATAAGAATGTTTTCTGCCCGAGTTTTTTCGCATGCGCGAAAAATATAGGTAAACCGCAACGACATCGAAGCTCGAGAAACTACATCGATGCTCGTTTGTCTCGCATTGTTCGTCTGTGTAGCGTAGCGTATTATATTGTGAATTGCAGGTTTTGTTGCTGGTAGGCCTGCGATTTTTAAATACATCGCTCTTCGACTATAATCTCCCTAAACAAATGACAAAAGGGATAGGCCTAGAGTTAACTCTATGTTGTAAATTCCAGACATGATTTAATTACCTGTTCGAATGTTTGGGGGGAGGGGGAATTACCCGGTACTGTGATAGGGGTACCGTAAATAAACAACATAAATCTGTGGGGGAGAGAAATAGATAGCGTATGCTTCATTCACTTCATATATCTGCGATAAGGTAATCAATAATCATAGTAGGTGACATTTTACGAGTACAAAACAGCCAATCCTACACGATTAGTAATATTCAGTAATTAATATACAGTTTGCATAAGGATAATGATAGAAGTCATGAGGACGAGTACACCCTGTTTTCTTGGTAATCACTTTCCTCCAAACGTGATGATACTTAAGATTCGATTGTTTATAAAATTAAAAGTTTAACGACAGTGTGTCACATTTCCAGTAATTTGTACTTTGAACTTTTGAACCTTTTTTGTCACCTGATAGGTGTAATAGAACATAAATGTTAAAACATTTTTACGAAGTATTCCGGAAGTATTTAATTTGAACTTTTCACACCTGTAAACACGTTTACCGTTGTAAATAGTTAAAGACGTTTACATATACATACCAAACTGTCACTGCAGAAATGGACATTAATTCGACATTTGCGTCATCTGTATCGAATTCACATGGCAGACAAAACTGGATAAAACACGGTGTGGAAACATACAATGCTAGTAATTCTTATGACTATTTACCCTGGTCTTCCATACTGCAGATATTGCGTTCTTCATTATTTCTATGATAATTCTAGCATCAAAGAATGTAATAGCATCAAATTCATTTGAGCTGATTACAACGAAAACACTAACCTTTAAGCCGTGACGTGATCGACAAAACTGTGGGATCACGAAAGGAAACCTGAGGACTGGTATTCTCAGTGGCAATTACATCTTTTTATGTTACGTATACAAACAAACTCCCCGATGATGTACAAGCGTGACCATCTGTCGATCTGAAATCATTACCTCCTAACCGCCCTCCGCGTCCCTCGCCCACTGAAAGAGCAAATGCAGCCAACGATTTGCGCTAACGCAGTGCGCGCGACAGTTGTACGCAAAGCACTGGTTGCTGCAAGACACGCGAAGCTCCCCGATGCACGATGTGGTGTCTGTCATAAGGGAAAGTGGCGACCTCAATATCACCGAAACTGCGGCTTCAACAAATGGTAGAATTCGGGTTCGATACTGCGTCAAATAAATTTCCTTGTAATTTCGTAGTAGATAATATTTAGAAAATGACCAGAATAACGTGTAGTCATAAATCTCCCAAGTACGAGAGCTTTAAAAATAAAATGTTTCAAGAAAGCCACATTAATCCTCACAAGCGGAAATATTTGGATCCACTAGAAAAACCTTAAATGTATTTTTTTAATCAAATTTCATTATTATTCGAAATTAGTGTAAAGTGACACAAACAGGAAAGCAGAAAGTTGTTGAGACTAGAAAGGTTAGGCAACGGATACTGTGAAGACATTCTCCTAAGAATTTCCATTCATCCTCTCAAGCCCTTGCTTCTTAAGGTTCCTCGGACCTCAGAATGTCTGCACTTTCTCCTTTTTATGCAATTGTGTAGAACCCGCCGCTGGATTAAGGAATAATCTTACGCTTGCCCAAGTGTTTCGAGATTAAAGAGAAACAACGAATGTAATGATCAAAATATCCTAGAATTGCTTTGAGATGGATAATGACTTAAATAAAAGGGGAGTTTGCTGATTCTTACAGAAAAATATCCAAAACCATTTCAATAGGACTTTCTATTTTGCGATGTTATACTCGCGATGATGTTTTCACATGTTTCAAATAATACAAAGTTAACTTCAAGAAAAAGGCTCAGGGAGGACAGGACCCTTGTTCTAAGAAATTTGCTAATATTGTGGAAAAATACTTAACTACTAATAAAGTACTTACGTTTGGGTTAATGAACAAATTAATTGTGACCTTCCCGTAATGTCAAAACTTCGCGAGAATGGTGAAATAATCTTTTAGACCCACTTTGAAACAATATCTTGGGAATGCATTATGAATTTATTTATTATTATGGGAATAAATAGGAAATAATGAAAATAAATATAGTTTGAAATTAAATATAACCAGAAAACTATTTTTATTCATACCGGCGTTAAAAATAACTTTTCCCCTTGAAATAAATTTTCCATAAGATGAAATTGTAGGTATAAACATTCTCGCTCTCTCTACCCGTCCTTCTTGCATAACGTCATAATACCTAAGTCTGTGTTGAACTTACAAAAGTGTTTATGAAATTTATTTTCAAAATTAATTTTGATTCTTTTTATAAATATATTAATTCTATTGCACAAAAAAGTAATGTACGTAACTTGCTCATAATGTTGCCGATCGTCAATGGAGCAATAATACTTTTATGAGCGGGATTCTAGAATACGTCAACATAGGCATCAAAATACTAGGAACTCAAAGAGAAGTCAATGTTTATCTGTGTTCTACCGGAAATAAAAAAGAGAAAGAAACTGC